GAAAACAATACTGATGTCAACCGCGACGTGGTAATTATAACTCCAAGCTTGGAGCCGTAACACTCAAACGGTCAATTGACAATTGCGCGTGATTTTATATAATACCTTGTTAAAACATTTCTCCATGTGTTTGATAGCAGTTCTCGAGTGAATTTCATGGCCGCACGTGATGCAGTACATGCTCATCTCAGTATCGTCGTTGTCGTCCACCTCGGCATGCGGATCAATGCTCGCGAGTTTGGCGCGCTCAATGATACGGTCCAACTCGGCGTGTCGCTTGTCCAGTTCCTGCAATATTCTACGAACATCATGCTGTTGCTTTCTCACGGATTCCAGAGCGCGACGATTATTTTGTTCCGCGATGCACGCGGTTAGCGACCACTCTTGCAACCGTTGCGGTAGCACCTGGTAAATCCTGCTAGTCGCCAGCTTCAAGCCACAGTCGTCGGAGCAATACTTGCTGCCGGGTCGCGATTGCTTTGTGCACGCGGGCCCGTAACAATGGCGCGGCGGCTCCAAGTATTCGTTTCTCTCGTTACTCGAATCCCTCTTTCGCTTCTTGATGAACTTCGTGCCTTTGTTGAGGCTCTTCGAGGGTTTGAGCGGATCCCCCAGTACACGGCAGGTTCTCTGAATGCATCGAAGCTTCAACCGCACTGAGGGCCCAAACTTCTTCAGATGCCTGAGACGTATATAAAGATTTAAAACCATGCTCGAAATTATTTTCAGTTTCGCAACAATTTTCGAGAGCTACGCGCACTCACTCTTCCTTTATCGCTTCAACTCGATGGACCGCGCGACTGACGATTGATTTCATGAAAGTCAATTGAAGACCGTTTAATTGACGATTTATGTGATAAAGAGAATCAAAGATCGTTCAATTAACAATTGAACTTGGCAATTTAATTAAATGCCGTTTAACTGACGATTGGTATAAGCAAATTCAATCGATTCAATCAAAGAGCACTCAATTTCACTTAAAGCTATAATTGCTTTTATAGATAATATTTATACCCGGAGCATTGTGGCATCGTGGAAGATGCCAATGATTGAAAAATGCTGAGATCTGCATTGAAGGGACTAATCATATCAATCGTCACAGATCAATCTTCGACCAAGTCGATTGAATTTGCTTTTATTAGTCATAAATAAAACGGTTAATAATAATTAAATTTGCTAAGTTCAATTACTAATTGAACAAACTTTAATTTCCTTTGTTCATATCAATCGTCAATAGTCTTGAATTGAATTCGTTGAAATTAATCATCAAACAGTATTTGAATAAGTTTGTTGAAACCAATTGAACAGCCTCCAATCGAATTGGCTTATATTAATCGTCAGTTAAATATTTTTAATGACTAATTAAAATTAACTACTACGTTAATTATTCCGTAGCTCTCAGAAATAGTCTCGAAACTGAGGCGTTAATTTAAAACATATTTTTGATTCAAGCATTGATTTAAAATGCATTCTTGTGTACAATCGTGCCGGAAATATTTTACAATTATTTCCTCTGTGTGTTCACCTGCAGGCGTCACACTTGCCGCAGTTCTCCGTACGCTGACATCCTGTACACTCGCCACAACGTTTTGACGATTTCTTCTCCACGCTCGGGTCCCAAGGCGCGTCATACTCGTAACGATGTTCTCTTTCCTTCTCTTTGTACTTTTTGTGCTTCCTATCCTCCTGTTCTGTCCTGCGTGGCTTGTATCGCGTTATTAAGGTTGGATCTTCCTCTTTGCAGCGCTATGCGAGATTTGATGGAGTTATCTCATAGTATTGTGTTCTGGCTGAATATTAATAAAATTACTATAGAATGTGGTAATTTGTTGTTCACTCACAATGCAGAAGAACTGTTTAATATGCTTGGCATCCTTTTCAGTTATGTTTATGCAGTCGCCGTGGTACCATTCCTCGCATGCGTCACATCCTCTGGAATAATTTGAGATGCAAGAGTTGTAAGTTTGTCTTACAGATACATAGTAGAAACTATATGTCCAGGATATTAATACATGATGTCGAATTGATACTTCCAAACCTTGAAGTAGTTTACTTACATCATAAAACGGGAACTATCAGAGCTCCTACAAATACAATATGCTTGGCCATCCTGTTTCAACAAAGTTGCAATCTTGCTTTTCCTCTCTGGCAGCATAAACTGCTTTGCTATCTCCTCTTTCTGAATAATGTCAATTTAATGTCTTTGAAATTAGCACAATTTACAACAGAGAGGTTAGGTTAAGTTGCACCTTAGATTTTGTAATTCTTGCAACGTTTATGTAAAACAAATCCAAATAGTTATCTTTTTTTCAGGTCATAATGATATTTTCGTGGTGCTATTGACGAGCTAATATAAATTACGAATATAAAACTCTTTGTACTCACTGACAAGTTTTGTTGTCTTTTATCGGCCATAGTGAAGAGTTGACAAATTTGGAGCGACAAAAATTCCGAGCGAATAAAATTGTATTTTTATTGACTTCACGACATTTACACTATTTACACACGTTTAATTTGTAAACATAACGAAACCGTTTATAATCGTATCAGGAGACAAGCAGATCGAGCGCAGCCATGTTGTGTAAGCTAGATGGCAGGTAAAAATGAGGAATGAATCTTGCGGAATGGATCATCGCGACCAATCACAGTGCGAGGACGAGACTTAACGTCCACGTGCGCCAGTCCAAGTGTGACACAGTAAATAAATGTTCACGCATATATCAAACATACACCATGTTTAAAATATCCCACATATATTGTATGATGTAACTCATATACATTATTTACAGACTTTATATTTATTTAAAAATTATACAGCAACTATTATCACAGGAATATATTTTAAATTACAGCGTATCTCGCGCGAAAAACAGCAAGTTCCCAGCGAAATTTGCTTCAGGAAGGGCACTGCAATGGAAAATAAACAAGATCTCGAGAACAGATTCTTCGCAAGTGTGTATAGCGCCTTGCAAATATGACTTATGAAGTTGAGAGCTCATAAAACCGTCAAAATTGAGTCATTATTGTATGTTATGATATATATAATAGGCTTGCCCAATAATTATATTATTAATTATTGCTATTATTATTATCATTTGGTGTTCTTAATTATATCATTATTGTGTAAGCACGTTCATGATTTTGATAGTTTGGTGGGCTCCCGACTTCACCGTGTCTAAACCGTTTTGCAATGCATTGTATGTCTTCCAGGGTCAATATTCCGCACCGACGACTATCGACTTGGTAAAGGATCATCTACGCAGTCAAGTTTTAAAGTCGTGGCAGTCTAGACTGTGAATTGATCGTGTATCTACACACATCTACCAAATCGATAGTCGTCGGTGAATATGTGCGGAATATTAGCCCAAGCAACGCTTAAAAAAATTCCCCTATAATCGATAATCGTTGTAGGAATGGTTGAGCTTGGCAGGACAGCGTTTGATAGTTCTGTCTCGCCGTGACATTGGTCGGGTACAGGTTGCCACGTCTGATGTTTTCCAGCAATATCTGCGGCTCGAATCTGCCCTTGGCGGGACTCGGCGTGGCGTTGGGCGGGTTGCTGTTGTGCGCGCCAGCGGCATACTGCTCATTGGACGAGAGTGGCGGTTCCAGGCCGTCCATAATCTCGCTATCGTCGGCTTTGTAGATCGCCGACGAGGGAGCGAGGATCTGCGCCGGCGTGGGCAACTGCACGTCCGGAGTCACGCTGTGATTCGACTTCTCCGTCTCTTGGACTCGCGTGTCTTCACCCACGGCTGAGCTCGCCGTGCTCGTCGCCGAAGCGTTCGCCACCGAGCTCACGTTGAAGCTCACATCCTCTTTCTTGCTCGTGGGATAATACCTGATCTCGGACAGCTTCGCAATCGTGATCGGCGACAGGCCCGAATTCTGACTAGCGACTTTGTCCTCATGATAATGATCGCTCGATGCGAGGCCGTCCACCGACGGCTCCCGCACAGGTAGGAATCTCTTCAGCATCGGTTTCCTGTCCGGGAATATCTCCTGCGCCGGTCGGCAGCAGTACAGGGCGCCGGGATCGATCGGGTGAGCCTCGGTGTTGAAGACGTATCCGCCGGCGTCCACCACACACTGGCCCCATTGCGTGTCGATGATCTCCCCCTCGGAGCCGGTGTTGTGGATGAAGTTGTCGGTGTCGAAGAGTAGGTACAGGTACTTGGTGGTCTCCGCGAGGAAGAAGGACTCCATCCGGTCGGCCTTGCGATGATCCCGCACGTCGTTGATGGTCGCGTAACCGCACGCGGTCCTGGCGCTGTGCTGCAAGCTCTTGAGAATGTCCACTCCCACCTGGATTAAGTAAGGATCCTTGGTCGCTCTGTAGAGATACATCACGGACTCGATGAGCTCTGGCCGCAGGGGATAACCTTCCCTGTTGGTTCCCGCGTCGGCGTGTGGTATGTTGTAGAATTCCGGAGTGAAGCCGAATTGCTTCCACACGCGGTGATAATTGTGCAACGACTTCATCGCGTCGCCAATCTCGCCGAACAAGCTCAGCACTCCGGGCCAGTACGCGTCTAGAGATTGGAACACTGGTAAGGTCACTTGACCCTTGGTCATGGAGACCCACACGTGCCAATCATCCCGGCGAATGTATTTTTCGATGGCATGTCGGTGCTCCTGGAATTAGAGTCAGTATATTTCTATAACCCGTTAATATTATCAGGGTAACCAGATAAAACATTCAAAATGGCTTTATAGTCACATAGCAGAAATTATCTAGATATGAGAAATTAGCTAAGATGAATAAATGACTAGTAAACATTGCGATATTATATATATTTTGTATTCAACCAATACAGATAATAGAGACAAAATTTCTGTCTGCACTATTTGTCAAATTTGACAAGAAAGTCTCTCCGTGATTTAGAAACCAGTTACACTTCTTATAAAATTGATTGTGGAAGACAAAAAAGAAAATAAATGTATAACCCTTACACACACCTAAGTTTGTTTGCAGATATCGCTAAAATATTGCTGCTATAAGTTCTGTAAAAAATATGCCACAGACTTTCTAGCAAATACAAGAAACAACAATAAACTTTAATTGTGACATTCAGAATTCTATCTAGACCAATAAAATATTTCTTTGAGTGTATCAAGTTTCTCATATCTAGATTTTTGCTAGATAAATAAGATTGACAGCACTACCCGAAATATTGAGGCCAGTAGAGGATCCTGGAACAGCAAGGTGCCTTTGGCTAGGTACTCGAAGTAGGAGTCCACCCCGGCGCCGATGCCGCAATCCTGGGCGGTCCAGTGACCAGTCAGCACGTCAATGTGATTGCCGACCAGGCCAATATTGGATCTGTAGTAGTGCAGCGCCTTTATGGCGTTCATGGCTACTTCCTCGTAGAGAGGATCGCCTGTCAGCCTGGAGAGAGTACCGAATTCCAGGAGGAACGTGCCGATGCCAGCGGTGCAGGTGATGCTGGTCTCGCCTTCGGGCACACCGTACTTGAGATTCACCGTGCCGTACGGCATACCGGTGGGAGTGTCGAACGCAGCGATCAGCCTCTTGGCCATGTCTTCGGCGAGGCGCAGCAGCGGCCCGTTGCAGGGCCAGCCGGGCTCCAGCTTGACGCCGGCCTTGCGCGACAGCAAATGAGCGCTCAGCAGCCCGCCCACCACGCGGATATTCGTCTCGAACACGGACACGTTGATGTTGGCCTCGAAGTTGGCCCGCGCGCTGATTATCTCGGCGACGCGACGGAACTCGCTGAAGTTGCCCATCACCGCGAGCGTGTCCAGCGCGTCGATCAGGGTCAGCGAGAAGCTGCCCCAGGTGTCGAAGCCGTCGCAGCTGAGCGAGCGCAGCTCGTCGTACGGGTAGGCGTAGGTCAGGTAGCCGGAGTAAGCGTAATCGAACATGGTGCGTACCTCCTCGCGCAGAGCGAGCAGATCCCGCTTCTTGTACTCCCGAAAGCCACTGACCAGAATCAGAAGGCCCAGTATCGAGCCAGTTCGAAACAAGATCATCGTTGCCTGCTAATGTCGTTGCGTCGGTGTGCAGCCTCTCGATCCACCAGCACCGTCGCGCATCGTTTGTCCGTCCCCCCGACCTTTAGAGACGAAACTCGCGGACCCCCCGAAACGGCCACGTACTCAAAACAATCCTGTTATCCCCCACAAACATCGCGTCTCGCTCTGCGTCACCCTAACCTATATCGCGGTTCGTATCGTGCGTGAAGTTCAGGCGTGCGCGCGCGCGACGCAAATCCAATTTCCCGACCATATTCGACTTGTTTCCGCAATGGAGACGGCGAAAAGGCGGTTGTATGATTATCAGACGTCAGGTGTGACGTCTCCGATTAATTTCCGTCACACGACCTTCGGACTGGTCGCTTCTGATCAAAGCAACGCGAGTGCAGCTATACTTCGTTAGAAGCTGTCGTGTGTACGTGCTCAGCAATGTAACGTGTTTTCCAGCTAACCGAAAGTACGCTGAATCTAAGCGCAACGTGTTGAATAAGATTGATGGCTCCAGCTTAAATAGCGTAAGCCACAATAAGCTAAGTTGTAAGCGTGCAAGACAAACTTAGCCGTAGAAAGAGATTAACAATTCGATATTACTCGTATACATGCATTCATCAACGGTGACGCGCAGAGTGTTCAGCGTAACATCCAAACTATTGCAATGCATCATTAAACCGTTTACGAAGCGTTAAATTTTGCTGAACGCAGACATTATTGAATTGTATGACCTCAATACAATACAGAAAAATTTATTGGGTAGATACTGTTTATAGCCATCACTACCTCGCTTCCTCGTTAAGGAAAGTGGCGGCTCGTAGCGGAGACTTTGGAACTAACTTACAGAAATAACGGGTCTAAGGAATATATTAGACCCGTTATTTCTATAAGGCTAATATTTCACATGTCGTACGACAAGCTTTTTGTATACGTTTATTGGTTGACGAACAGAGAACCTAGAAATACTCTATTTGCCAATCAATAAACGTATCCGAAAAGCTTGTCGTACGACACGTGAAATAGCACCCTAATGAAGGATTTACACCGCGTCCGATGTCCGACGTACGACGTCGATATCCAATAGGAGAACAGCTTTCTAATAGAGAATTCAATTCTCCATTGGAAAGCTGTTCTCTTATTGCATATCGTACTTCGACATTGGACGTGGTGTAAATCCTCCATAAGGCTGATATTTCACGTGTCGTACGACAAGCTTTTTGGATATGTTTATTGGTTAACGAACAGAGAACCTAGAAATATTCTATTCATCAACCAATAAACGTACCCGAAAAGCTTGCCATACAATACGTGAAATAGCACCCTAAGTTAGTTCCAAAGTCTCCACCACGAGCCGCCACTTTCCTTGACGAGGAAGCCAGGTAGTGATGGCTATAAACAGCATTTGGCTAACGATATTTTTGTCTTCTAAAAACTAATTCTATTTTGAATATCGATATCGTACGTTGCAATATCATATGTCGGACGCAATATGAATCCTGTATGAGCTCTTAAGCAGTGTTTCGCATACCTAGGCTGTCGTGTTCCATTTTTAAACGCATCTGGACAAACTGTCTAAACCGTTCCACAACAGAGAATATATAACGAATGTTTATGAAGCATGGATTTCAAAGCACTGCTGCAAAACTGCGCTTCAGTGAATAAATGTAATTATTCATATATAATCTAATGAAAAAACTATATACTCCCCATCTCTGCACTCGTCTCAAAATATGTAAACAAAGTCTTCATGCATTTGTGTTGTTGTGTTGTAGCGGATGAAAACTTTGCAGAAAATGAAAAGAGGGAAGATAAATACTTTCAGAAAATATATGAAGAATGGAAGGGTGTGAAAACTAAAGACAGTGACTCCACTTATAAAGTTATACCTAAATTTTATTTCAAGGTATATATATTTGTATTTTGTATGTAAAACTATACTATATAATGGAGAAATTTGTACTTATTCTTGTGTATTAATCTCATACATTTCAGCTGCCAAAAGAAGATGAGATTCTACCACAGAAATTACGTGAGGAAACACGTGCTTTATTTTTGCAAAGACGTTCTCGACAGTTGCTTGATAATAATGAACTGAAAGCGTTATGGGTTCTGTTAGATAAACATCACAGTCCACCTCTATCAGGGGATGAGCAGTTAATCAATTATGAGGATTTTAAGAAAGTTGGAAAACTGGCAGGAGCAAAATGTAGTCCATATTTTACTGCAGTTGTGTTTGCTAAGTTGCAACAAGGAGATCCACATGGTAGGATTAGCATCATGGCACTATTCAATTATGTCATGAGAAAAGTGTGGTTACATCAGACTAGAATTGGGTTGTCCCTATATGATGTTACAGGACAAGGATATCTCAGAGAATCGGCAAGTTTCTACAAATATATATCTGAAAATAAGATCTTTATTTATTACTTATATAGTATTTCCTTTTACTTGAGAATTATGTAAACATATTGTTTACAGGATCTAGAAAATTATATTTTAGAACTGATACCAACACTGCCACAACTTGAAGGCCTTGAAAAGTCCTTTCATTCATTTTATGTATGCACTGCTGTTAGGAAATTTTTGTTCTTCTTGGATCCTCTTCATACAGGCCGTGTTCGCATTCAAGATATTTTAGCATGTAGTTTTCTGGATGATCTCTTGGAGTTACGAGATGAGGATTTGCCCAAGGATTTACAGGAAGCAAATTGGTTTTCTGCACCTTCAGCTCTCAAAGTGTACGGCCAATATCTCAATCTTGACAGAGATCATAATGGAATGTTAAACAAAGAAGAGCTTGCTGGGTAATTGGTTTGATAATGCAGTAGAGTGCATAACATCTTTAGAGTAAAAAATCTCAAAAACTTTCATTATTTAATTATCACGATTTTTTCTGCCACAATATTTTAAGCTGTAAAAGTTTAAGTAAACCTTTTTTTATTCTAACAGGTATGGTACTGGTACTCTGACTGGTGTTTTTCTTGAAAGAGTGTTTCAAGAATGCCTTACTTATGAAGGAGAGATGGATTACAAAACATACTTAGATTTTGTATTAGCGTTGGAGAATCGACATGAACCTCAAAGTCTTCATTATCTTTTCCGGATTCTGGACATTAATAATCGCGGTTACTTGGATACTTTCTGTCTCAATTACTTCTTTAGGGTACGACGCTATTCTGTTACAATTTAATGTTTTTTTTTTACAATTTCTGTAATAGTCGTTAATAAAAAAGTAATTTCTTGCAGGCTATACAAGAGCAGATGACAATGCACGGTCAAGAACCTGTTAGTTTTGAAGACGTTAAAGACGAGATATTCGATATGGTGAAACCAGCAGATCCATGCAAAATTACATTGAAAGACTTATTATCTTGGTGAGATTTTATAGATACAGAATATTTTATAACTGAGAAATTTTTGTTCTTAGTTAATGTATAATATTCTGGTTTGCACAGCGGACAAGGCGACACGATGGTCAGTATTTTAATTGAGTTCCATGGTTTCTGGGCGTATGAAAATCGTGAGGCAATGGCAGCTGATACTGGCGATGAATCGTCACATGTATGACGAAGCATCATTCCGAAATATGAGATAGTTATTCCATCGGGATAACCAAGTTTACCTTATTTAATGCGAAGTTAGTATTTTAATGCATTAAATACAGATAACGCTTTTATTTATTATAATGTTTCATTGTAGACAATACAATTTTTTAAAATTTATAACAATGTAAATTTTATACATGTAATTACATAGAACTATGTGTGTGTGTGTGTGTGTGTGTACTTTTTCTTAAATTATATATCTATTTTGTTATTTTGTACTTATTTCAGTACTTTCTAGATTATATACAAATATAAATACATATGCAGACTATTTAACTGAATAGTACTACTTGTTGGAATATTCCAACTTTTCAAAATTTATTTGTGTAATATGTTTTACACATAGAAATCATATAAATAACGTATTGAATCGATTGATTCAGTAAAAGAAAGAACTTTATGTATACAATATATATGTTTCATTCTCTTATATGTTTGCAAGTGTGATAGCATAATCAGTGAAGCCAGGAAGTACATGATAATTCGGCCGTTACACTGTTGCTGGGTTCTGAAATTCACTGCCAGTACTGAAAATCTATAGTTCATATTATGTATACTATAGAACTTCAGTACTGGTAGTGAATTTTGGAGCGCAGCCTATATTTCTATCTCAAGTTACTTGAATGTTGTGCTGGGAAGAGAGATTAAGAGGAAAAGTAAAACAAATAAAAGAAGAAATTATTGTAGATGAAAAGATATGGCGTTGTTGTGTTTTGCATGAAAATGATATATATGATTGCATACATATTATAGTGTATGAAAGTGGAAAATTTAAATTATCCATTTATTCAATTGCATAGAGCATATAATATTTGGACATATAAATTTTATCGATTGTGTTTACATTTAATCTAATATGTATATGCATAGGTAGGAAGTTTATTATTAGCAATTCAAAACAGTGAGAAAGTTATAGTTGTATATGAGATGGTTAGCAATTAATGAATTATACACTAAGATAACGATGTAGATTTTTCATTCTGTGGACTAATATCATATAATAATATTAGGTGCGTTCAGGAGACAACGGTTACACAACGGTTGAATAATTAGTCAACGTAATTGATCTAAAGAATAATTAGTCAACGTAATTGATACTGTTAGGGATCTAACAGTAAGAACCAATAATCACTAACCGTTCACTAATCAGCTATGTTTTCTGAATGTAGCCATTGATGGGTTTTGATAGTGAATATTTTTAAATCTATCCAATCAGAGACCCACGAATCACCATTCAATCATTAAGGCCTTTGCAGAATGCCAGGTTACAGGCAACAGGAATAGGCATTAGCCAATAGGAACAGGTAATAGAAATAATTGACCAATCGGAATTCCTGTTCCTATTGCCTGGCATTGTGCTTTAAGCATTTTCTTCCAACGAGTGGCAACCATGACTTTATATTGACCTCGTGATTGGTGGATCTTCCTTCGTATCTACAGTTTATGCAACTATTTTTAAGATTCCGGTTCAAGCCGAGATTCGTTGAAAAGATTTCGTGTGTTTTTTTATATTTTTTTTGCGCGCTTCAATCCTTCCGTTCCTTTCTCCTCATACGCCTACAATACATAGTGTAGTACGCAAATGTATTATACTAAAATAGTATATTGCGTATCTTTCTGATAGCCTGGCCGTTAAATAAAAAAAAAAAAAAATCTGCAATCTCACGAGACAATACATTTCGATGTTCTTGAATAAGATGATTCGTAATAATGCGTAATGGCTGACACAAGAATCTTCTTTTTGGAATTATAAATGTAAGAACCATAAAGGAGTGCAGAACCTTGAGTGCAAAAGGAGTAGCATTTATAACGCAATAGCATCTTTTGACGAGGCGTCTATGCGCGCGTGTTTGTCGTTTGAATTAAAAAAATTGTCATTTTGTGAGACACAGCGTGTGACAAGGAGTAGAATGTCCGTGTTATATTTCGCGAGTTGAAAGGTCGCCTCACGAACGTTCATTCGTTGCCCGCGTGATATCGCAACGAACAATCGCTCTCAACGGAGAACTGTCATTTCCCCTCTTTTCCTCTCCCTCCTCTTTTTGCGGTAGTATGGCGCTTGTGTTTGAATCCAACGGTCAGAATTAAGGATACTCCCCTGGCACTGCGACGCAAGTTACGTTTCTTAATCGTTCGGTGCTTTTTCAAGAATCTTTGGGCGTACTCGTGGGCGTGAAGGAAGTATTATTCCTGAAGAAGTTTCAGCTACAGAAAGGTAGCATCATACACGAATTCAGCGAACAATGGAGCCCTTCGTTCAAGTAAGAATACTTTTTTGTCCTTTACCTTAGAGTAGACTGCACAGACATGTATAGCATATTGCGTGATAGAATTGTAGCTACGAATAAATTTGCGATGCAGTTATTCATTATTAATACAATAAATTTCAATTTTATATTTGTGATTTATATAATTCATTATTTATTTTCTCATTATTATTAAAGATTTTTTAGTATTTAAAAAAAGAGATGCATGAACAAAATTTATAATTAATATTGCATCATTAATACAAAATTTTGTTACTGTTATGAAATGTTTTTTTTGTTATCTACATGATATAAGTAAATTGGAGGGAATATATAAATATGTAGATTGTTATAAAAATAAGTATCAAAGTACTCTTTGAAATATTAATATATGTTTTTATATTGTATTATTCACATAATATCATATTCTGATTTAATGTTATTAATATAGCGTATGTTGGAACGTGCTAAAGTAAGGAGAGTAAAAATAGACACACAATTATCATCTTTGGGACATGATGTGAAAAGGCGTAGTCCTTTAAAAGATGCAAATGCTATTCTGGCTCAATTTACAGGTAATTCTTCTCATTTTTCTTTTTTCAGAGTTAAAAATAATTATTTGATTAAGAAGAAAGATATTTAGCTTATAAAGATAATTTAAAGATAAGATTTTTATATCTTATCTTTATAATTATTTGTTTCATAGCTTTCTTTATTTATATGATTCTTGTGCTAAGAAAAAAATTATATATATTGTAGCAACAGCAGCAGTAAGCCCAACAAAATTATCACCACTTAAATCACCAAGTAAAGTAACAGATAAATCTCCAACTAAACCTTCTCGAAAATCTCCTCCGGCTAAATCTAACACACCTGAACATGCTAAACAAATTGACAAAGAGAACGGAGACCTTGAAAGTTGCAATGTAAGATCCAAGTTGCAGAGACTTGGAAAATTATATTCTGGTAAGTGGTATTTGAAAATACAAGAAGAAAATGTGTAGCTACAGAAATATATATTTTCTGTATGAAATAATTTAGTTATAATGAGAAATAATTTAGTTACATATATTTATATATACACTCATGTGCATATTTAAAAATTAAAGAAAATTTTTAGATTTATAAATTATTTTTACCTAGAATATAGATAATACAATAAAGTGTATGAAAATCATAACAATGCAATAAACATTAGAAACTTATATATGTAATGATAATTGAAAAATGTGAAGTAAACTTGATGAAGTTTGTGAAACACTGAACTCTCTTAGGTAGTATATAAGATCTTGAACATTCTTGAACCTTTCTATTTGGTTACTCCCACACAGTCCATACATTCAGCTACTCCCACACAGATTGCTTGAAACTTGTTTCTGACACTGTATATGGGTATGCACATGGGTGTATGCATGAGTATGTTCCCATGTATCTACATTGTTTCAAATTGAAGATATATTTATGCAAGAAAGAGACTACATTTCCTTTTGTATTTCTCATTGCTTTTTAAAGAGTTGTACTTTTTGAAAAAAATTAAGTTATCCACATATTTGTTACATGCATAAAAAATAATTTTAATGCAAGTATAAATTTTTTTTTATATTTCTATATCTATAACTTGGTATTTATATTAAATTAGTTATATAAAATTTATATTATTAATATACAAACAAAAAAGAGAGTTAATGTTATTTTTTTGACAGATGATAATAGCCATGAGTTGAGCTCTCCTATACATAGAACTGAAGAGAAATTCAGTGCAGAAGATTCCATGGATTTTAAACCAGCAAAGCGAGGCGCTAGACTTGACAAATTGGCAGCTTTAGCTTCAACAATTAATAGTTGGGAGGATGATTTATCTCATCCAAAACTGGTACATGTATAAATAATTTAAATCTACTTTATATAAGACAATGAAATGGCATAACATTTGTATATAATTATATGACACAATTTTATAGACCAAGCCGGTAGACAATAAAGTAGAGAGAATACAAGCAAAGTTTAATGAACAAGTCAGAAGCGGACCAGAGCCTCAACCAAGTACAAGTGGCTACAACAGATCAACAAGTAATAACAATGAGAGGAAAAGCAAAAATGGAAGTCCAATTAAACAATTAAAATGGGATAGAAGTATATTGGATTGCTTGGTAAGACAACATACTTGGTAAAATAAATTTTATTCTAAAGGTGAAGGACTAAAGCTTTGTGTAGTTTTCCTATGAGAAATTCTCCTGTTGTTTAACACTCTAATATTTTATTCTATATGATCACGTAGTGTACTATTGCATTTGTGAAAACAGCTATCAATTGAACAATCCTATTTGGATAGCTAAAACCGCACTTTACAGGAAGCGCAAGGCTTTAGTCGTACAAAAAGCAATTCTCGCCTCGTGTATGACTATAAGGATTGTTCCCAGGAATCAAACACGGTTTCAAGTCATACATCGCAAAAGAAGGAGGAGAAGAAGCAAGTTTCACCCTATAAATTAGATGGGCTGTTAAAAGGAAAAACAGATGGTGATACTAGTGTTTCTGAGAGCCCAGGCGGCTCTCCTTTCAAGGTCAATAGCAGCAAAGGTTCTAACACTCCTGAAAAAATGATTAAAAATGCAAATACTGCTAGCAGCTCGCGATTACCAAAGTTTGGGTTTAACGGTTCGCCGAAGGATATAATACAACCATCAGGCTCAGTGTTGAGCAAAGCGTCGATGTTTGAAGCTAAGAGTACGGACGCAAAAGTAAAGGATCCAGCTCAAATGACGCTCGCAGAAAGAATGGCTCTTTTCGAGCGAAATAAGGGAGAGGCTCCTTTGATTCCGAAAGCACCGCTTACAATGTCAATTCCGCCGAAGAAGCTGCAGGAGAAGAATAAACCTGTACAGTCAGGATCTAACACAGGCACGTATAGTTCTTATTGCTGAGACATCTTGACGAGTACTTAACATGATAAGATTAATTTTAGCATCTGATCGCATGATTTTTGTTAAATGTGCTTATGTAAAAATTCAATATTTTAACATTTTCAATCGCTTTGTTCGTTGTACGCTATAATCAGTCAGATATCTTGAACAATTTTTATTTTATTTTACGTCTATTTGATGTAAGATATTCAAGGACATTTCATCGCTTTAGATTCATCTCCCAGCAACCGAAACGCTGATATTCCCAACAAATCGGTTAGCGCGCAACGTGCGATATTTGAACATAATAAGCAAAAAATAGATGAAATGGAAAATCAGATTTTACAAGCTACCCAAGCTGAAAGACGACGCGAGTTAGATATGCTGCGTTCGCGTTTCAATGAAAATAGGGAGTTTGCTCGTGGTGCTGTGAGGTGCGGTATTCGTACAAGCGAAAGTAGCGAAGGAGGCGGCAAATCTTCCTCGCCGAAGAGTTCGCCCGTTTGTTCAGTGAAGCCGACTCCTGCTCCGGTAATTGATAAAATAAATTGCCATAACATACAGAGAAATAAAGTAAATATTTCTTATTGCATAACAACAGAACTATTCATTTTATTTGTTATTATAGGATCATACAGCCGCCGCACCACCACCACCACCACCGCCACCGCCGTTACCACAGCCTGAAATTGTATCATATATTACTAAATCTTCCCCGGTAAAAAGGCAAGGTACGTGTAAAAAATGATTGTTTTAATTTATGTTCTTATAAATGCAATAGCAATCTTTTCATTTCTCTTTAATGTATTTTATAGTCGTTGGAAGTCCACCCAAGGTCCAACATGTAAATATGATGTGCGATATTAAACGTATTCGCGTGACTGCTCCGAAACAAGGATCGCTTTATCCTAATCTGGAAAACATCGAGTTCACCACGGAAAGTGATACTGAATCAACATATGAAACAAGCGAGCCTGTAACAGCTACTTTTGACGAGAAAAGTGACAGTGAAACGAGTGATTACGACGAACAGGTAAGATAATTATCAAATAGTCTTGTGTGCACACACAACAAACTATGCAAATATGTAGTTTATATATTTCTAATTGTTTGTATATGTGCACAGAATGAGGATTGTCTTACTGAAAGTGAATTGACTAGCGATCAAGCAAATACAAGTTTTGGACGCAGTATTTTGTATGAGTTAGACGAACGCTCATTGTTTAATAAAACTCATAAAAAGGTATATAAACTTATTTTCTAAATACAAAGGTATATAAATAAATAAAATTCTAAATAAAAAGGTATATCAACTTATTTTCTAAATACATCATAATATTGATGGTTAGATATTCACATTTCTTGATATCGCGATTACAGAGATCCATAGAACCAGATCCAGATAGTACTATGTCAGATCTCTCGGTGCTCAACGAGATGGATCAGTACTTGGAAGAATGCCTCGAAGCGGAGGAATCACATACCGATATGAATGTGAGAGAAGAAGGCCCAACGCCACCAAAAGTAAATAGAGGCAAGAGTCCGTCGCGGTCATCCAGCAGTTTCAACTATCACTCGTACGTTTTAACTTTTTTCTAACTTTTTCAGGTTTCTTTTTAAAAATGTTACTTTTATAAGTAATATCTATTAAAGTTATTAAATGAGTGTGTAGTTTTAAATTAGTTAAAAGTACTTGATATCCAGACACCTATGTATATCCTCTGAAAATATTTATTCATATAAATGATTTTTAATATCGTAGGTTTCGTTCGCCTTTAAAAGTAGTCTCACCGACGAGTAAAACGAAGGCATACATAGACGAAGGTGGTAGCCGCGTACCGCTAATACGAACTGTTAGTGCGTACAGGCGACAACAATCTGAGGTAAGTTATTTAATATCTTAACGCATATACGATTTTATACATATATTGCATAGTATAGTATATATACAGCAGCATTTATTAATTTTAGTTGGCTAAGACATCACAGCGTTCAGCTACAAAATCAGAATCAAATGTACCTTCCACTTCTGGCGCAGAAAGATCAGAACGTGTAAACGAGGCGATACTGGTGGAAAATAAAGTAAAAGAGCTGCTCGATGAAGTTTGTACGCAACAGAAGAAAATCGAAGGAGCTAGTAAAGCTTTAAACTTGTGTCAATCTACTGTCGAGTTCAATGGATCCAGTGAGCATGTTGGTGGAGAATGGGCATTGCTCGTTGCAAGTAAGTTTAATGTTAACCAAAGTCAAAATTAAGTATATTACGTTTAATATCAATCGAGTTAAATTATATATTAGTATTATAATATGCAATTTTCAATTATTACAAAAGCACAGAAGATAAATTATTCTGTCTTTAATATTATCGTTTCTTTTCAGCTCATAAGCGACTAGCCGCATTGAATGAAGTACAAAGGCTTAAGCGAGAAGGCACATTGAAACCTGTTAAAGCAGGCTCACTAGATATACAAGGAAGCGGATCTTTAACCATTTCGGCTGTCACGCTACCGTTGAAGCCGGAATTTTCCCGGAACATGGGCAACAGTAAGTGCAACATGAAGTCAAGCTACATTGTCATGCGACATAGAAATATATTGACTAAATATGCACAAATTGTTACAGATGCGTTTTTGCATTGTGTTTGTTTAATGCGATACTTGGGAGAAGTAGTCGCTACTCAAACAGCTACCGCCGCTGAACCCAATGATTCGTGCCTTCGTTTCCTGTCGACGTTAAAGTTTGACGACTTAAACAGCGATTTCAAGATTGCCGTTGAGGTATATTCCCTTCAGACGCAACCGAAATATTTGCCGCATGAAAGGAAATATCACATCAATCATACTGGTGCAAAGGTAAGATCCTTTCTCACTCTTTCAAAAAGAATCATAGATAATAACTGAAAAAACACAAAATAAATATAGAAACTATAGCAATAGTTTGTTAATTTCTATATTTACTTACAGACCGAAAAGAAGACTCCAAAGAAAAAGAGTCAATTTGTAATGCCGAATGTACAGAGTCCAGCAGGACCAGGAGCAGTCAGATCGCCTGCTTTTCAACTATGTGGCACTGTTAGTATCACCCTGAACGATATACAACGCAAGCAGTTCAACTTACTCGGAGTAAGTGCCACGATTTTTCAATATCACTGAAATTCATGGAAGTAACATACAAATTCCCGCGCACGATATTAATTTTCCTCGATTTATCCAGGTTTCGTCGCAATCTCCTTTACAAGGATCTCTTCGAATGCACATATCGCACAAAGTCTCAGTATCAGTGGAGTATCGCGGATTCTTAACGGTCTTTGAGGATATCTCAGGTCTCGGTGCTTGGGATCGAAGATGGTGTTTGCTTAAAGACGCCAAACTTTTTTTCTGGGTGCATCCCGAAGATGAACACAAAAAGAGTCCGATAGGAAGTCTCGATTTGGAAGGTAACACTATTTGAACTGTTCCTATTTAATTTTTCAATTTAATTACAAGCATGCCAGTATATCGATACGTTTTACACAGGTATATTTACGAAAAATGTACAATTTGTCAATCGAGAGAAATGTGCTCGTCCTTTCACGTTTCTACTCGAGGCAAGGAGATCCGCGCAACCTGACGACTCTAATAATCTCATTACGAAGACCGATGGAAATGTGACTGTAATAGAGTAAGCATATTGTTGTTTTATATCCGCTGTTAATGTAAAATATATCTACTTTAACGTGTTACACGTATTTGCAGACATTTCATGTTAGCTGACACACGGGAGGAGGGTCTGCAATGGTTATCAAAGTTAAATAAGACTCTGAACTTAATTAGAGCCTGGGAACCATATAGATGTTAGCAGCTTGACAAGAAAAGGTAAACTTATATATCACGCAACGTACTAAAGTACGTTTCCATAAAATATATTTTCAGTTAGGAATTGTGCATTACACACATATATTCTATAACGCGCTATAGACTAAAATGCTTTGTTTAACATACTTGGCGAAAAATATATCCGCGGTCAATTAAATAGCGTCGCTAAAATATCTTATTTACATCTATTTACATGTATCTATGATACATATGGTAAGTTCATTCGACAAAAGATATAAAAATTTTCCAAACCAAATTTTCATTGGTAATACGTTTAACATTTCTTTTAGGCGATAATGAATTTTCTATTAACAAATAATTGATTAGATCTTTAATTACGTACAGAGATAATTTATGGATAACAACAACTTTGTCAAATTTATTCATTAATTGCTTGTTGCCAGTCAAAATTTATTATAATAATAGATTTACAAGTCTTTACGATTTCATTCGCAAAAATTTTTCTATTGGAATACTCTATATACGTGTACAGGCATATGCGTATTAAATATATAAAACATTATCTTCACAATTTTCGAATTACATTATCGTTGATGGTAAAGAAGAGATTAATAGCATTTGTTGAACCGAAGAAAGGTATTTGGTATTGTATAAATAATTTTTTATTCGTATGATTGAAAAACATCAAACTGTAAGTGTGGGGTGTTATTTAATCGTGATTAGTTTCTAGAATACTCGTTTATACATATTTACCAGGTAATCGAACCTGTTTCAATATTAGGGACGACTTCAAAGTAGTATTATGGATTAAAACGATTGTAAATATAGAATAAATGTAGAAGATCAAACTCTTACCAATCAAATCGAGAGATATTTATATATAGATATATATATATATTATATATGCATATGTATAATTTCTATATCAGACTTTGCGCATATAAATACGTTATCCGACTTATAATCAGTATATGTATATCATCGATATTCAGTGTCTAATGATAATTTTTACAACTATAATTTTTTGTATCGTATTAAACGAGATGTTTGTACTGTGAAGAGTGACTTCTACTCCCATCCTCATGACTTTATATGTCATACACAGAAATATTCTGTATAATATTCACTTATATACGATCACGTTTGTATGTCATACAGAAGTGTTCTGTACAATATTTATTTATATATATACGCGATTGTGGTACATTTAAAATACAAATTCCGGAAGAAGAAAGTTGTGTGTCGACTGCGTTAGCGAGAGCGAAGTGTTAATCAGTAAACAACAACGGAGACTTCAGTATGTATACAAGTTTATTTGCACGAGTTGCATTCTGTTATAGATACATGTATAGATATGTGTATAAAAAGATCGCGGCGCTGCAATGAGTGCTGCGCCGTTGCCTCGCTGAGATAGAGCTGCAAACGAAAAGCCCTGACGTTTCAAAGTGTTTGCTGGCAGTTTCGAGAAACTGAATGGTACATATCGCCGGCTGCGAGCGAGAGCAGGCGTTTCACTCTCGGGACACGCGAATGCATGCAGACGTGCGGCTCGTTAACGTGTGTTGCGTAACGCGTGCGGATGCTCCTTGCGCGAACGCGTCGGCAGAGGACCGCGTAGTGATACAATTTCGATTCTGTCGACTCGGTGTGCTTATTGTATTTTATACTGGATGCTGCGATGTCATATATTTAGCTCGATGCACTGAAGGAGTCACGATCGGTTTCGGAGCGAAGGCGACCGCAAGGTGGTCGAGCCCGATTGCAAAATTCTTCGGACGATTTCGAGCAACGGCTGCGCGCTGCATCGCGTGCATGCATTTCGCAATGCCTCCTCTGCGAAGTAACGCGATCAATTCCGCCGAGTTCGCCGAGACGAATCGGCCAACCGCGCGCGGAAGATCGATCATCCTCCGGCGATCGACGACGTCTTCGACGGCGGTTCGCGTCGGTGAATCGCGTGCCTCGCAGCATACAAGTTTATAAGTATAATCCTAATGCGCGTGTATAATTACACGTACATGGTCGTGTATGTGTGCGTTGTGTATGTGTTGTGTGTACGTGTGTGTCGACGACCGCAAAATCCTAGTGTAACTTCAGTCCTCGTTCAGGCCTTGTTACTTTGCGACGAGATTGATGGTAGGGTGGAATCCGGTCTCGTCCGCGGTATAATCGACCCTGCAATCAGAAACGATGGCTGAGGATTAACGAAATCAACTCTCCGACGAACGGAATCACGGGGAGAAAGTCAAAGGACGCGTTTGCAGAAGACGTTCCTTTGAACTTTCGCTCGTTCCTCGACCCGTTCTTTCGCAAACGCGCGTCCACCCCCGGCGTGGCCTCCCATCGCTGTGAGCCGCAATTTCGCGTACCTGTACGTGTGACCGTCCGGCGCGATGAAACTGAAGCTACCGACAACGCTCATCGCCTCGTTGTCGGTGCCTTCGTTCTTCAGTTCGGCCGTCTCCTCTCTCTTTTGGCCGTCGCTCTGCTCATAGCTGAAGTGGTATCCACCTACTCCGATGTTATTCACCTCGTCCTGCTTCACGATCGTGATTTCGTTCGGGTTAAGCTGCGGCGCCGCCAGAATACCGGCCGCAAGCGTCCAGAGGACGAGGATCTACGGAGAAGAAGAGCGGCAAACATTAGGATCGCGTCCCGTCTGTCCGATCGACGTGCCGAAACAACCTCGTTTCCTATTTCTCGTTCTCTACTTGTTTCTGGCTTAAGGATTGAGTCAGAAAGAGATCATGAGAAAGAAACAGGAAGCAAAGAGCACGTTGTAGATTAAACTTTAAGCTCAATCTGTAGTGTACTCTTTGCTTCTTGTTGTTCTGTTTTTTTTTCTGGCTTAAGATTTGAGTCAGAAAGAGAGAGAAAGAAACAGGAAACAAAGAACACGTTGTAGATCAAGCTTCACCGTTTTAACGACGCGTGTGAAACGTGAATACATCTGTGTCTATCTTTATCACGAATAGATACATTTGTCGTAGAGATCTCATGAATGTAAATTGACGGTGGAACCGACACACGAAGGCGGACTCGCCGTAATTATATCGTAAAATCGATCCTTTCCTGGAATCCGACCTGGCCTTCAGCGACCAGTATTAAATTGTTGCGTCATTTGAGTTGAACCGAAATCTCGTAATCGGTCCCACATCAAGTGGAGTGACTTCCTCGGAAATTGATAGTATCCCAGACCTTAATTTTAATGCGCGCGCGCGTTTATGTGATTCTTTTTCAATCGACTTTTTCAATTTAGAGACGGCTTTTCGATGTAACTGAGAGATACCAAGATAGCTAAGTTCCTCAAATAATAGCAAGTGGAAAGTTCTCATGATCCAAGCGCTGCTTCTGCGATGCGATCGATCACTTGGATTCGAGTATACCTTCCTCCGAATCGTCAAGATTTAACTGCCGCGAGATTGTTCTCCGTGAAACAGCCACCGGTGCCCCTGCGCGAGATTGCCCTCGAGGGAAGATCGATTCTAAATTCGTCGCCGTTATGCAGCCGCTGAAATTGCGGTCGAGGTTCCGCGACACCCCGATTCTCCCCGCGTATCACGCGCGAAAAGCGTGCGTAGCTCGCGCGCGCGCGCACAAATGTCACAAATCCTCTTCACTTTCACTGTTGCGCAAAATTTCGGCCCGCAAAACCGACGCCCCCTCCCGTCGCGGGGCTCGGCCCGGTCATCGACTAAAAGAGCCTGATCGCGCGGCGACGAATTGTGTTCAGCTGTATCAGAGATCAGTCCTCTCTCGAGGACCTTTCTCGAGGACGGAACACCCACCGTCTTCATCTCGGCGTCTATCTCTCTCTTTTTCTGTACGTGTATATTTCGTGATCGGTGGTGCGAGCGATCCCAAGGCGGCCCTTTGCCCTTAAACGACAACGACGACCGATACGTGATAATATACCAAGGATCGCCGGTGCATCTGCCTTTATATAGGCGGAAAATCGCAATGCCGATGCACATCCCCCCACCTGTGCATGCAGCAGCCCCGACAGATTCGCGGATGAGTCTCCCGCACTCGCGGGCCCAGGATGCATCCGCGATGCAACCGATGATGCAGCCACCGCGGCGCTATTAGACGCTGCCCGTTGCATGCCGCAGTGGCATCGAAGACTGCGGATGTACGGCTTCACAGTGGTTTCGCTCTCGCCGACTGAATCACTTATTTCGAGGGGCCTTATTAAAAAAAAAAAAGAAAACGAATGTTTAGAAAATAAGTCCTCACGGTTTCGTCTTCCGTGCAAACACGCTTGTATGCGGAAAAAGACTGTCACTAAATCAAATGTCACTAAACGATAGAATAAGAGGATGGGAGATGATGAAAGAGTACTATTACATGATTGTTTTGACTTCGAAAGAAGTATCTAAGTAATGAAAAACAGACAGCGAAAATTTTACTGAGAGATGTATTAAAGACATCTAAAAGGAATGAGACGTCTCCTAGAGGTCTTTGAGATGTCTTTTGGTGGATTGCGCTGTCTGAGTATCCAGATAACAGAGAATTAAAAAAGAATTCGAAAAGAATTCAGTTGTATGTCACCAATTTTGAGTTCATTTTTAGATGCTAAAAGAATTCTTCAGAGTTCAGTTCAGTGAAAAGAATTCTTTTTGCATCTAAAAATGAACTCAGAATTGGTGACATGCGATTAAATTCTTTTTGAATTCTCTGTGCTATCTGAGTATTTATTCGGTAGATGCTAATGACATTTAATTTATATTAACATAAAATATTCAAATAAGGAAATATGTATTTTCCTCGAACTTTTCACGAAAGCGATTGTTTATTCTATTTAGATAAAAAAAAATTTAGATTTGAGTGAATATATCATTAGTACTCACCGAGTATTTTTTAGTTCTTAGATATTTTCTCTCACAGTGTATAATTATTTTGATATTGATTGTATTGTGTGTGTTTCTTGAAAAATCAAGTTTCTCCGTGAATTCTGTTTCGTAAATCCGCGGTAACGCCGCGTCACGCTTCCTCCGTCACGTCGCACATCACGCTGAAAATCGTGCTGCAAATTGATCGAACTTCGAGGCGCAAACGCGTATGTAAATTTTTGTGGTAATCGGCCAGTAATTAGCGGCGGCTCTCCCGCTGCGACTTGACAGAGCGAGGTAACGGCAAGGCAGATCTCCTAGGCGCTTGCGATCAATATTATTCGCGCGTAATCGTTACCGAGAATCTCGGTAACGCGGCGTGTCGCAGATAAATAAGTTAAAAAGATGCGACGAGAAATAATGAGATTATTATGTAAGCTGACAGTTTTCCACGCACAAACAAAAATGTCAGCGCGCGGAGCATGCCGAAGGCGTGACGTCGGAATTTAACGACGCTCCGTGCAACGTTGGTGATATTTACCGACGCAGACAATTATTACTTTAAGAGTGAGAAGTACTATTGACTCTGCCTTCGCGTGTCCACATTGCACACGCCGCGCGATATGTATACCCGTGGACGATGGCGCCGCGCGCAATTACTTTTGCAATTAGATACCGACGTTTCTACGCGCGCGCACGTATGCACGCACAATTTCAATTCGCGCGCGAGTCCGAGCTTTGCGCAACATCATTCCGAGACAAGCAGGTTCGCGTCTGAGATATCTGTGTGCGTCAGCTCGCCCGTTGTTCATTCAGACGTCGCGAAATGAAACGCTTCGAAACATTTTCCGCGGGAGGAATCCGTGAATCATTGTCAAGGACGGCGCGTCTACACAAAGGCGATTGTTCGCGTATTATTACCACGCGCCGCTACTTCAGTCATCGTGTTTGATTTTCGTGCTCGCACATCGTCTCGCTGAACCATCGCGATTCTATGAGCCCGATTGATCGCTCACTGGAAAAAAAAAAACGGTTAGATTTGACGCCAAAATAGATAAAATAGATTGAAGATGCTGAGTACCGACATAACGCTCTTTCGTAGTTCTCCCTTTTCTTCTAACTGAATGCATCAAATTAGAGAATACTTCTACAGGGTGAAAGTACAAACATTAATGAATGGCTGACGCTAAACAGTTGCATGAAATTGAGAAAAAAATTTTTTATGATCAGTCGGTAAATAAAAAGTTTTTTATTGATTTCATGCAACTTTTTGGTACAAGCCATTCATTGACGTTTCTGCTTTTACCCTGTAAAGGCATTTTCAATTTAATGCATACAATTAGAAGAAAAGAGAAACCTGCGTTATGTCGGTATCCAGCCTCGCCTTGATGGCTCGACTATAGATTCAATGGCGAATCTCGTTATAAGCGATTTCGCAATGTTTGAAATGTTCTATGTAGATATTCGATAAGATTCACGCGATATCTGTACGATCTCTGGTACACCATTGGATCTCGCGGGAATAACTTAGACTTTTAAAAATGCCCGCGTCATTTTCCGTTTTCCCAGCCACGACACCGCGAACAACAAGGCCACGGCCGTGGTGGTAGTGGTGGTAGTGGATGCGTTCTCTCGTGTGCATGCACGCGCTGCGCCCGAGGAGGATGCGTCCATCTCGCGTCGGCGTTTTCGGCGCCGACCCGAGCGGGAATGTGAAAGCCGAAACTCTCGCACCGCGCGGATTCCTACGTCGCGGTTTCATCGCAGTGGCCAGCGGCGATGTTATACGCGGCCGCACGTCCTTGGTCATTGTGACATTTGGTTTTCTCGAAGTTATACGCGCCGAGGAAAGTTGGTGACGTAACTGGCGATGACCTTGCCATTTCAGAGGATACAACAACGATCACGATGACAACGAATAACTTCGCAATAACAAATTTCGTTTAACATTCGAACTACCGACGATTAACGACCTGTCCCAGTAAGCACCAACTTACTATGACGTTATACCAATGTTTGCAATTTCCCACTCGACAATATGACTGTTACATAACGCTCGCGTTATGCATTTGCGTTGTTGCCTAGGAATTGGTAACATTAATGCAATGTTACTCTGGTACACTGAGAAGAAAATATTTCAAAATTTATCGCGGGATATAAAGTTGATTTTTGCGAGTGAACTTTATATCCTATAAAAATAAGTTTTTTTTTAATAAGTATTTTTCTGAAAAAAAAAATAAGTTTTTTTTTAATAAGTATTTTTCTGAAAAAGAAAAAAATGTTTATTTTTTTCAATTTTACTTAAACATTAAACTTGATGTTAATTAAAAGTATGCTAAAAAAAATATTTGAAAACTTATTAGTGAAACAACAAAGTTATTGTTAACAATAAAGTTATTCGTAGAAATAAAAACTTTATATCCCTCTAATAAGTTTTTAAGTATTTTTTCTCAGTGCAGCTGAAGTTTACTGGAATTTCTGTTAGAGCTATCAAAATTACAGGTTTATTTATGTTTTTTGGTTTCAATCAATGTTAATTAAAAGTATATTGAGAAAAAAATGCTTGAAAATTTGGAAACACAAAATTTATATTCACAGAAATAAACTTTATATTCCACAAATAAATTTTCAAGTATTTTTCTCAGTGTAGTTGGAGTTTACTGGAATTTCTGTTAGAACTGTTAAAATGACAGGTTTATTTACTTTTTTTGGCTTCAATCAATGTTAATTAAAAATATATCAAGAAAAAAAATACTTAAAAATTTGGAAACATAAAGTTTATATTCACAGAAATGAACTCTATATCCCACCAATAAATTTTCAAGTATTTTTTCTCAGTATAGAAAATGCGTTATAAATTTAAGTATAATTTTTCTAAGAAATCACAAACGAGTCGATTCCTTTAGTAGTCCTAATGTCAACGCATTCCGTGCGTCATACGCCGACAATTAATCTCGCCTGAATGCTCTTCCTTAGACGAGCAATAATGCCACTTTGACATTAGGTGGATTAACCCGTAACTTGTAAAACACTTGCGCTTGTACAACGGTCCGTTCCGCCGTTCTAATGTTGAAACGCGCCTCCCGTCTTTTCGTCTTTACGTTTTTTGCACGTGAGAAAGTCAGTGCTCGTCACGATTTGCGACCGTAAACGCAGACTCCGATGATTATACATCGATTATGCAAAGATCACGAAGAAGACGAGTCTCTCTGTCTTTCTTTCTCTCTCCCTCGCGTTCTCTTTCTCCTCGTCCTTTTGCGGACCATCGAATTGCACGATACGTTTCGGCCGGTCGAATTACATTCGACAATCGGGACGAGGAACTTGTGCCAGTTTGTAGGCTCGCATTCCGTACCATCTCATTTCCTAACAATTTCGCAGTAATTCATTAATAATGATCTCTTCTCAGGCGAGGCTACTTGAATTTGGGCAATAGCTTCCACGCCTTCAAGTCACGCCGTTAAAAATATTGTTTTTTCAATATGCGTCGCATTAATTTCAATATTCGATCTCACAAACATTCGGACAGCAGATGACTCTTAGAGAGAGATCAACAAGCTCACAGCCGTATGCTAATGAATATTCATTTTAATGAGTAATTACGTCGCTAAAGTACGTGCGATGGCTAATTACACGCGTGAGCGCAAGCAGCCGTTTTGTTTGATTTCACTGAGATGCACCATTTGATTTCTTACGTCAACACAGACATTACCAGCGTTATTACAAAACAGCGGACAGACTTTGGTATTAATTAATCGCCGTGAAAAGAAGCCAGGGTTGCGCTTGGTGGATCTCATCGACGCGCGGCAATCGTGATTAATGAAGCAACACGAAGAGCGATTCAATAGAATAATTTTTTTATCAGAATATTGTGTGTAAAGTGGGTCGGATGTATTTTGAATGTGTGTACGTATACGTATGCCGTGTGACATTTCGCTCGCGGGTATCCTAAAGCTTGCACAAACGAGGATTAGTAAACGAGGATTAGTAAGTCGTCCGGAAAATAAGAGAACTGTATCGGCACATTTGCACCAGCAATCGGCGCTCGCGAAAGGTTAAGCCTTTGAGATTTCGTTAACTCTAATAACGCGCAATGAGACAGCAGAAGAGA